CCAGCCACCCGGAAGTATAAGTTGTTTCTTTTGTCCTCAAAATTACTGGGAGACATTCTGCAACTGCTTCTGATTCCTTAAACGCTCCCAGGACTTCTGTCCTCGTGCCTTCCCGATGCTCTTTCCTTCTGCCTGGAACGCCTTCAATCTCTTTCCACCTAGTGAACTGCCTGCCTCTCATTACGATTCCTGTAACAAGTCATTCATTCTTTGAAAATGTTTCTTTTCCCCCTGAAACAGACAAGTTTCCTCCTCTCTGTCCTTGTCGCACTGGTACCTATCTCACCATACTTTCTATACTCCATTATAATTACTGTATTTGTCTGGATTGCAAGTCCCTCAAAGGCCTCTCCTTCATTCTAGAGCAGTTCTCAATTCTGACCAAGCATCAGAGAACACAGCACTTTGGGAAGCTGAAGCAGGAGGATCCCTTGAGGCCAGCAGTTCAAGACCAGCCTGGGCAACATAGTGAGACCCCTGTCTCTACAACAAATAGAGAAACTAGTCAGGTGTGGTGCACGCCTGCTACTCGAGAGGCTGAGGCAGGAGGATCACTTGAGCCCAGGAGTTTGAGGTTGCAGTGAGCTATGATTGTGCCACTGTACTCTAGCCCAGGCAACGGAGTGAGACTCTGTCACAAACCAAAAACAAAATTAAAAACAAAAAGTGTATTTTTTTTTAAAAAAGAACAATCTCTGGAAGTTTGGAAAACATGCAGATTCCTGGGCCCCACCCTGAGATCTCACAGTAGGTCTGGGATAAGGCCCAGGAATCAGTAATTTTAGAAAGCTCTTAATATATATGCAGGGAATTCACGTAAAATGACACTAGCTTTGCTCTTTTGGGGCTTACATTTAATGAAGCCCTCTGTGTCCTGCCTGCCCTTCCTCCACCTCTTCAGAGTAGCCTCGAAGTCATGTTCTTGCCATTCTGTAATCGTCTAGCTATTTGGGGACTCAAAGGCAGGTTCCCTTTAACTCGGAGTGTTTGAATTAGTTGGTGTCCCAGCTACATGAGTCCCTTTGGATCCTGCTTTTGTCACTCAACATATTCGCTCCTCTCCTCTCCTCAGACTGATGTTAACAAGCAGATTTGATAAAGATGTGCTCATGTCCGGGTGCGTTTGCAGCTTCGCCCAAACGACCCTTTATTGTGGCAGAACTCACTCTCCTTTGGAAGAAGGAGCAGGAATTGTGGTCACTTTTTACGTTGACTGGGCTGTTGGCTCCCCGGCCACGCAGTTTCATCTCAACGCTGGGTGGCGCTCTGCCCTCAGGGTTCCCCCGCTGTCACCGGCCTCCCGGGCCAGTCGGCAAAATGTGGGTGGAGGTGGCTGCCCCTCCCTGTGGGATTGCTCTTTTTTTCTTCATCTGGCCTCCTCCCCGCGTGCTAATCTACAGAGTGCCATGTGTCAGCCTTATGGAATTCGGGGCTCAGAATGGAATTTGGGGGCATCCAGCCGCTCCCTGGAGGACGTCTTGTGGGATTGTTTCCTGTAGCACAGCTTTCTGCAGCCAGTTCCAGTTTCCAGTGACTCAGTAAATCCTCAAAATACTTCCCATGGGAAATACGACTCCACGGTATCAGAAAATACAGTTAGTCGATGTTTCCTGATGAGTTTTTGTGTACATTTTTCTTTACTTAATAGTATCGTCATTCTCTTCCACCCCCAAACACTGAACAATTCTTTTCCCTTCTGTGTGCTTACACCCTTCAAATACTTGCAGACGCTTCTCACATCCCGCTTGAGTCACCGTTTGGCACAGCCTCCTGTCTTCGGATTTTACTGCCTCTGCTCATAAACCGCACCCTTGATGCTTTAATAGCCTGAAGTTCTCCTTCTCCAGGGAAAAGGGGACGGGAGTGGCTGTCTTAAAGTGTGTTGCATGAGGAGGCGCAGAGGTGGCTTTAGAGTGAAGCTCATGAAACTTCAGCTTCACAGTCCCCCGCTCCCTTGGCCCCTTCTGAGACCCTGTTACCTAACTTGTACTTGTAACATTGTACTATTTTTCTTAAACAGGGCCTCCAACATTATATTATTTTCAGCCTCTGCAGAGCCTGGACCCACCACTTAGAAGGCTGTGCGTTTCGTGTGCGTGCTCAGCTGGCTGGCTGGTGGCTGCTGGATGTGACCAGGCTTGAGTCCTCTCTCCCCAAGGACCCTGGGCCACAATGTCTAATTTCCTCTTTTTGACGAAACATAAGTTTCTCTGCCTGGCCACAAAAATCAGAGCCTAGCATCCTACTCACTTCCTTTCATTGTAATTTGGGCATGCTAATATTTTTTTCTTCCCTTTCCTCTCTTAGAACAGAAAAAGTAATTGCTGGTGTCAATGCAACATAAATATAATTAGGCCAGGCCTAGAAGCTCGTGACTCAGCACAGACACGGAGATTCCACTTCTCAAAACAGTATTTAACTTTGGTATGTTGGACTGTTAACCATTTCGAGATGATCTCCACAGGGATAGGGAGGTATCTCGCCGTTTATGACATCACAAAGTCGAGGGTGGGGACTAACCTATATTTGCTAAGGCCCTCAGTCACTATTCCTATACTCTACAAAACCACATTTATAGGTGTGCATAAAGAGAAACAATGGTCTTGGGACACCCACACATACTTTGTAAATGGGAATTCAACTTATTGTTTTGTGAGTACACTATAGATTGGAGGTGATTAAATGATGGGTAAGACCGCTGGGACAGAGCAGGTTGTACCCTACACCACTTCCCTAATGCCAGATCCTGGGGCTAAGGGATCCAGTGGGATTTTTTTTGTGTGTTATCTATACTGGCATCTTCTTCCAAGTTTGTTTGCCTTTCCTGGTAGTAGTCTCTCTGTACTTCTCCCAGGAGCCAGAGTTCTGATGTGCACCCCATTAATTAACTCCTTTCTGTCACTCAGCAGACAAAGGGCTGGAGTGGAGTGTAAATGTTTTGGCTGTCACTGGCTGTGATCAACACGCCCTGTTCTCTGCACCTGCATGTTCTAACTCATCACTTGTCTGTTATGCTCATTTGCCTTAAAGTTGCTTGATAGAGTAGCAGCTTTTTTATTCGTTGTTGATCATCAGAGCCTCGCAGTGTTTTAATATCTAGGAATGAATTAACGAATGGATGTGAGGTTCCTAACGCAAACAAGGCTGGCGGATACAATCAGGAAGCGTAAGGGTGAAGATGAGAATAAAGGAAGTGTGTCCAAACAGCCTTCTGTTGCTAAGGGAGACAGGATTCTTCCTGACTCACATCCATAAGAGCAGTGAGAAACTACCGCGGGGTCCACAGGTCCACAGACACACCCAGAGTTTCATCAAACAGATTCTCTGCCAATACGTTTCCTCTCACTTGTGGAAACATTCCTGCTTTTTCATGAGCAAAGCCGAGAAAACAGCAATGATCTCATGAACCAGTATTATCTTTAGTTCACAGAGACCCGGGGACAAACAGACTACTCAAAAGCCAGTGACAGACTGGAAATGTTTTGTCCTTTTCCACGCTGGGTGATTCCCCACCAATCAAAGCCCTTTTGGATGAAGGATCTCAAACTTCTGAGATTTTGCAGCTCTCATTACAACGTTTATGTGAGTGCCTGCCATTTGATTCCTTCACTGATGAAGGTGAGGAAGGTCTCCTCTCAGGACATCTTGACCTTTGCCTCCCAGCCTGAAAGGAAGAGCAATGCCACCAAAATGCCTGTGCTCAGTGTCTAAGATCCTTACAACAGTCTAGGATGCTTAGCTTGGGACTTCCTAGCTTTGGTTTAATTATTCTCAGCTGTAACCATGTTTAGGGGTCCACCTAACCCCAAATTCTCACACAATAAGAACCACTCCAGTCTTCCTAACGTGGGTCCGGAGTTCTGGGAACACTTCTACTTATGTTCAGGGGAAAGGACCAAAGGAAAGCATTTTGGGGGCCTCTCTCTCGCCTTTCCCTTTCCGCTTTTTAATGGAATTGTTTGAGGGCTTCTGCTAAGGCAGT